ATATATATATATATATACTGCGTCTTCCATTCTTCCATATTTATAGCCTAAATAAGTGATGTCAGAAGAACTACTCTTTCTTCTTTCCCCTTCCTTTCTTCCTCCTTCCTCCCTTCCTCCCTTCATCCCTCCCTCCCTCCTTCCTTCCTTCCTTTTTTTCTTTTTTTTTTTTTCTCCCTGTAGCCCCAGCTGGCCTGGAACTCACTATGTAGACCAGGCTGGCCTCGATCTTCGAGATCTGCCTGCCTCTGCACATCTGCCTCCCAAGTGCTGGGATTATGAAGTTTCAGGGCATAGGTGCATAAATTAAACACAAGATGAGTATTTAAGATTCCATTTGTATACAAAGTTATGAAGAGAATATTGGTGCTGGTGAACCAAAGTTAGCTTCTGACAGGCCCATCAGGGTCTGCAATGCCTTACACGTGTGTAGCACTCTAAAGTTATTAATGTTGAAAAATATGTTTTGCCATCCTCCCTATTTTTCCTCTTGTCTGTAATGCATTGTTTTGAACATTGATCATGTCTATAAAACAGCTCACCTGCACTGTATTACCCAGTGTTGGACATCATCTAAATGTCATGTCACTGTGCCATAAAGTACGTTTATGATTTATACTGTTGGTTTAAATTGAATACTTGCCTTTCATCCAACAGAATGAGTAGCTGAAGTAATGACTATCAAATAAGTCACTGGTGTGAAGGTTTGTATAATGAAGACTTCTATTTAAAGAGATAAACAGTCCTCAGATGGCTCCCTGAGGGTGCTGCTCACTTTCCGACTCCTTTTTCTCTCCCCTTAGATTTCTGTCTATTTCCCTACATTGGTTGAAAACAACCTTGTGAATAAACAGTTATGAATCTCTTGGAATGCTGAAAATTGGACAGAAATCTTTCAAGCTGCAATAACATGATGATGGGAAAGAAAAAGGCATATTAAAACCCCTATTTCCCTGCTGTAACTTGAGTCATATAAATGTGAAAGAAGTGAAAATCCATTCACTGGAGTATGAGAAAAGTTAATCTAGACCAAGGAAAAATCATACTGAGACTGTTAGCCTCCAGTACAAGACTGGTCCACATGTTTGTTCATGAAAATATGTTCAATGGAATAATTAGTAATTACTTAAGGATACTCCAAGATATTTATCCTTTAGTAGGGAAAGGTGAAATAAAAGAGAGGGACTAGAGAGATGGCTCAATGGTTAAGAGCACGTGCTGCTTTTGTGGAGGACTGGAGTTGGTTCCCAGGACCAGTGACTTACAACAGCCTTTAACTACTGTTCCAGGGGATCTTCTGCCCTTCAAATGCATTGAACTCACACATAAACCTACACTCAAAACACACATAAACACCCATAATTAAAAATAAAAACAAAATCTTTAAAAAGAAAAGAAAGAAACAAAGGGGCTCAGGTTGAATGTGCCAGAGCATGCCCAGGTAATGGAATACTACAGAGTTTGTTTGGCTTTTTTTTTTTTAAAGATGTATACATTGAAATTTTTTTAAGTTGGTATTATTTAATAAAAATGATTTTGCTAAATTATTGTCACAAAATACATACAAAAACTATCTGGTATGATGCTACTTATGTTAAAAACATATTCTGAGGGGCTGGAGAGATGGCTTAGTAGTTAAGAGGGACCTGAATTCAGTTCCTAGCACCCATGTCTGGTGACTCTAGGGAATCTGAAGCCCTCTTTTGGTCTCCTCAGGCATCTGCACTCAGTTGCATGTACGCCACCCAGATACAGACATATACACATGATTAAAAAGAAAATAAATCTTAAAAAAAAAAATCCTGACATACCCTAAATCATGTCCAATCAACTAAGAAGTGAAGTTCAGAAGAATTTCACACAATTTTCCTGTTTTCTTCATATTTACAAGGACTAGCTAGGCTTTCCTGTGGCTGGTGAGCAGCTGTGGAAGCAGAGCCCCAGTGCAGGAGGTCACCTTCCAAACTGAAGAGCCGGCTGCACCTCATTAAATTGAGGGTAGATGCAGTTGCTAATCTAGAGTAGCTGCTTTGAAGTGTCATTTGCCTTGTTCTGTTGATTTCTTTTGCTGGTTTCGTTTGTTTGTGACCAAAGATCAGATGACATGCTATGTTTGTGCATTGTGAGGTCATCTTGGTGCATAATCATTCAGAGTGCAACTGGATAGTCATATTATGAAATAATTAACAGTACAATTCATAACTGTAAGCCTCGAAGTGACCTGGGTTTTGGTGCTTTTTTTCCCCCCATAAATGGGTTATTAATTCTGGTATAATTTCTCACCAAAATTAGTGAGAATTACATGTTTAGCATGTGAGCATTTACTTTATTGAAAATTTCCCAGAAATCAATTACCTTTGTAAGGTTAGAAAAGGCCATATACACAAAAGAATGATCTATCAAGGGGTTAAAAGGATGTCATTCTTTTTAATAAAAATTATCTGTTTTTAAATTTTTTTCCTTTTGGTTTGTCTATGCTTTAAGTACGAAAGGTACAATTCAAGATTGTAAACAAATACTATTTTTTTGAAAACTGAGGTGGAGAACTATTGGAAATGACAGCATTCAATTCTGACAGTTCTCACTGCCTATAAAGTCAAGGTCCAAATGTCAATAGAAAGAACCAATGGAACAAGAGTGAAAAAGCTAATATACCTGACCTCTTTTTCTAGCTCCATCTTTCTTGTGTTTTCATAGGAACACCTATGTAACTTGTTAATGCAATGGCCTGCCCTTGGCCCATGGAGAGGAAAGCAGTTAGTGTAAATAGAGAGGAAAAAAAAAGAACAATTTGAGTAACGAAATTTCTTAAATCCTAAATATTCTTGGAAACTACCTACAATGCTTTCTTTAGGTGTAATTCTGTGTAATACTAGTAAGAGACATTTTCTTGGGCTTGTTATTTAATGGGAAAGGAGGGAGAGAAAGAGCGTCTCTTTTCTCAGGCACAAAGAATAGTTGTGTGCAAGGGCTCCTGATTATTTAACACAGAATATAAACATTAGTCCTGGCTGTATTTTAAAATGCCACAGATCTGTCACAATTTCAATTTTCTCTGAACCCAGGCCCACCAAACTTGCATATACATCAAAATCACATTGAAATGCAGATCTGGAGTTAACTGGTGTCGGGGCAGGGCTTAGATTGCATTTCTAACAGGCACCCAGGTGATGCTGTTGCATCCTCTGGCTGTGGGCCTGGGCAGTGTGGTCCAGGGTATCCTGATCGTCACATCTCTGGCATTAATTGTCCCATAGAGAACAGAGGGGGAACTCTTCACGATGGTCTCATTAGACTCTTGCTTTAATCAACTGCTGAAGGGGATCAGACTGATTGCAATGAGCAACTTGAAGGTCAAATATAAGCACTCACAATGATTGGCATATATAATGCTTCCCACAGAGCAGAAGACAAAAAGTAGACAGTTAAACAAAATCCTACAAGTTATCTAAGTCAGAATTAAATGAAAGTCAGCTAACAGTTAAGTACAGAATAGCTCCTTCAGCTTAGGCTGAAGGATTCTCAAGACTGAAGTTTACTCTTATGATGAGGTAGGCCCCAGATTCTCTTTGGATCCCCCAAAGCAGAGCCCCAGTGAAGGCCACACACCTTTGCTGGGAGGAAAAGCAGAGGGCCTTTCCTGTGGCTTGCATCATTTTTCCAGCTCGAGTTTTATCTTGGAAGCCTTGGGATCGGAGAAATTTTCCCAGTTCATTTTCTTCTTGAGACAAGACTGATGAAGAAAAGGGGAAAGTAGCTATGAACAATGAGCATTTTTATGATAAAAAGAAAAAGAGAGACAAATCACAAGGTCCTTTCTCTTCAGAGGCAAAGATGAGAGGAAATTAAATCCAAGTGGCAGGCTGCAAGGTAAGTCTCTCCACCTCCCCCACCCAGCCATTTAACTTCCATGCTGTTCTTCCATTTACAATAAAAGAGATCAAATTCACTTGAATACATCTGTCAGTGAGTTTGGTGCCCTGTAATCAGAACCAGAAAATGACCTCTGTACTGAAAAGTGAGCCCATAATGTGCCGCTTCAAGTAGAAACGAAGGAGTTGGGTTTGTGAAGGTTGCGGGTGGGAACCTTTTGTGGCTGCATAGAATGCTGTGCTAGCTGCTCCTGTTGTTCTCTCCTGCTGACTTTTTGATCTCTGCTGTCTGAGTGACATTCTGCTCCATGGTAAAGTCACTCACATCCCTCAACTGTGAAGCAGGGTTAGGTTGGAGGTGGGGGTAGGGCCTGAAGGTGACATCAGGTTGACCATTTGTAAATTTTTTAAAAATATTGAGCCAGAACCAAATCTGAATTGTTATGCCCAAACTTGGCTTTATTTCTTTATTTTTATTTCACTTGGTTATATTTTTAATGGCAGGTACAGATGGGACAATTTAGTAAGAAAATGATTTGGCACATGCTTTCTGAAGACTAATTTGGTAGCAAATATAAAAAGTTGTAGAGATGGATTATTCTTTTGATATAGTTCTTGGACTGTTGGAAGTTCAGCCCAAAGAAGGGCAAAATAGGCACGAGTGATTAGCATCATTATTTGTAATGCTGAGTCAGTCTCTTTATTCTGGAGACTGATTTAATAGAATTCAAAGCATCCATGAAATAGAAGGAAGGAGACCCCCCCCCACATACACAAACAGTGGAGCCAAAGCCACAGGGCTTACACATATTCTCTCTAAATCAGCATTTACTGTCAGTATACTTTGAACAACAATCTATTCACATTTCTATATTGATTACTGATACAATTATTTACTTTGTAGGACTGGGGAACTTGAACACAGGACCTGTGCATGCAAGACAAGCACTCGTTACATCTTTGGTAGTTGTGTGTGTGTGTGTGTGTGTGTGTGTGTGTGTGTGTGTGCGTGTGTGCGTGCGTGCGTGCGTGTATGTGTGTGTGTGTCTGTGCGTGCAATTTGTGCATTCGGCATTTGTGCTCACACTGAGGTCAGAGGAGGAAGTCAGGTGTCCTGCTCTATCATTCTGCATCTCATTCCCTTGATACAGGGTCTCTCACTGAACCCAGAGCTAGGCTCGAACCTCGAAAGCCCCAAAGATCCCCCTGTCTCCATCCTCAGTCCACCCCAGGGTCACACCTGGGCCATACCCTGATCTTTAAGTGAGTGCTGAGATCCTAACTAAGATCTTCTTGCTTATGGAGTCATCTTTTCAGCCTCAGTCTTGGTATTTTGATACATGGTCTTGCTATGTAGTTCACGATGACCTTGATCTTCCAATCCTCCTAGACCCTTCTGCCTCTGCCTCCTGAGTGATGGGGTTACAGGTGTGCACCACCAGCCCTAACTGCACAGATACATTTATGCATCCTGTGTCTCTGTAACCACCTTTGAACTGCTACTAGGTTCCTGTCCTTAAGATTATAGTGAGGCATGCTTGAGCATTTGCCATGGTAGGACCCATGTCAGAGTCTGTATGAATGGACCCGTGTCTGCCTTTACCATGAGACTCTGCCTTCCCGGACAGGGCCTACATCCAAACTACATTTCTTAGACCAAGCCACAAGCTTTTATTCATGGCACTAATTAAATGCTCGTGAAACTGAACTATGACTTTTGCTTTGTTATCCTTATATAGTGCTTTCCATTTTAACTGTTTGTTTGATATACATACCATGATTTTATGTAGTTAAAAACATTTCTATTTGATTTTTTCCTCCATTCTTTTCCCTTCTATTTCTTCTCTTCACTGACTAATATGTAATTAATTTAATTCTACCAACCTTTCCATATGGAGAGCAATTTTCCATTTTTGTTCCCAATAGCATGAGGCTTCTGTACCCTTTTTATATCTTCAAAGCCTCAAGTCACATACAAATGAACACATTTAGCTTAAGGCCCAAAGAAGTAATTCAGGGTACCTGATAAAATGTGCTCTGTCCTAAATAACCTAAGTAGGTTAAAGCATTCAGGAATAATTTTTTGTCATTTCACACACTTGAGGATCAAACTTGTGGCAAACAGGCTTGGTTTTATGTGCTGCTTCTGATTAACTGGCAATGCTTCTAAGAACATTTGAGCTGCGTCAGAGTCAACGTCAGATTTCTCAGAGAAGAGATGATCATTCCTTAATTTTAAAAATTCAGATATGGGACTGGAGAGATAGCTCAGCAGTTAGGAGCATTGGCTGCTCTTGCAGAGAACCTGGGTTCAGTTCCCAGCACCCACATGGTAGCTAACTGCCATAACTCCAGTTCCAAGGAATCCGATGCCCTCTTCTGGCCTCCACAGGCACTGCATGCATGTGGTACACTTATATGCAAGTGAAACACTCATACACATAAAATGAAAATAAATACATAAAAATTAAAATTTAAAATATTAAATTAATTTGCAGAAGTCTAAACTTTAGGTGCAACACATATATTAGATAATTCAAAAGTTTCCACTTGATCAAAAATTTCAATTAATTGGAACTTAAAACTTTAAATTAAAACCTATTCACATTTAATTACTGATTATATTTTCAGATGTATCCTTTAAAAAAAAAGGCAGCCCAAGACCTAGCAAATCAATTAGCATGACAACATTAACTCTAAGTCTAGATTTATGGCTAATCCAATATGTGATGAAGGAGACACAGGCATTCCCTACCGTACAGAGTTTATATTCAAGTGGCAGGTAATAGAAAATGAAGCACAATAACCACAAACACAAAAAACAAAAAGAAAAACTCTAGATAAAGCAAGAGATGAGGGGTAAGACAGTGCCTGCTTCAGACCAGGTAGTCAGGGAAGGCTCTTGGAGCAGCTGAGTCCTTAGTAACAAATGGAGCTACTCAATACTATTAGGGCAGGGACGTTCCACATGGAGGAAACTGAGTGAAAAAGGCCTTCACAGCTAGGAAAGCAAAAAAAAAAAAAAAAAAAAAAAAAAAAAAAAAAAAAGAAAAGAAAAGGGGTCCCCAAGGATGAACTAGGACTAGACTGTGTCCTGTTTATAGGTGGTGATGAGTTTGAATTCTGAGTTTTTTAAAGCAGGCAGCAATATGATCCAGCCTACAAATTCATTACCTCTATTTTGAAATAACATTAGACTTTAAAAATTATAAAACGTATACAGAGTTGTGAGATAGCTTCCCCTAAGCCTCTCCTTCCTCTTTATTTTTTGCGGTTTTTAAAAAATATTTTTTATTGAACTTTTGTACATTTTTTTTGACAGGGTCTCCCAGCCTTCTTGGAAGGGAAGTCACTATGTGGACCAGGCTGGCCTGGATCTCACAGATATCCACCTGCGTCTGTCTCTCGAGGGCTGGGATTAAAGGTGCATGCCACCTCTTTATTTTATATTATTATGGTACAATGATCAAAAGTAAAAAAAAATTAACATAGATCCAGTACTATCAGCTAAACTGTAGACTTTATTTGGATTTTACCTTTTTTTCCAAAATTATTCTTTTTCTGTTCTAGAACCTAGCCCCACAGAGTCTCGTTCATCTCCTTTAACCTCTGGCAATTCTTCAGACTTTCTTGTCTTTTAAGATTTTGACATCTTCCAAGAGTACTGGTCAGATATTTTGACCAGGAATCCAAATTTCCCTCAGTGTGAGTTTGTCTGACTTCTCCAGGTTAGACATGTATTATAGCTGTAGGCCACAAAGCTGAAGTGCCCTTCTTAACGGGCTACATGACATCAATATCTCTTGTCACTGGAGATGGTAACCTCTATCATCTGGTTAAGGTGGTACCTTCTGGGCCTCTCTATGATAAAGCTACAAGTTTTTCCTTTTATTATTACTAAATATCTTGAGGGAGGAATGCATGAGATTTCCTGAACATTCAGTGTCTACTCATCCCACTTCCTCCATGAATCTACCTCTACCATTTTCACTGTGGTGTTTGACTCATGGTGATTTTGTGGCTCACTCATTCTTTCTATATTTATCAAGTAGAATTATTTTACAAGGAAGAAGTGTCTTTTCTCACTCATCCAGCCATCCCCTTGTCATCTATCTTCACATAGACTTCATTTCTTTTCTACAGTTTATGGTACTGATTTTGTTGCTTAAATTGTATCAGATTTGACCACAGGATGGCTGCTGTGTCCTTCAAAGCTCCATCCTTTCTCAAGTACCTTCTTATGTTCTGGCATTGCAAGTCATTCCAGGCTCGTCTTGAACTTTCCCTACAGCAGGCTTGAAATCAGTCACTTCCACAAAGATGTGGAAAAGGGTCCTCAGGAAACAAAATCTGGATGCTAGGTGTGTTCAGTGCTATAGGCTGTTAGTTCTTCTAGATGCTCTCAGCTAACAGCAGTAGGAAGGCTACAAATGCACTACCCTCCCCGTGTTCATCTGTGCATCAGTATCTGAACACATATGAACAATGACTTCATATGACCCCTGTGTTTGCAGTGTATCAGTGTGGTAGTGTTTATTCTAGCCTCCCTTGACCTGTAGTCTCTTTCTACCATAGACAGAGAAAATGCAGGCTCTCACCTGCATTTATTTGTCTAACCTCATTATATGCATAAAGCAATTTTAGAATTGCCTGCCCATTTCCTTTCCTAAGTAATAAATATACCATTTTTGTATATATTTGTTTTTGTGTTCAACCTTGGTGTCCTCTCTAAAGTACTATTTTCTAAATTGCTGTAGTTCTTTTCCATTCAGCCAGTGCAGAGATGTGATCCATTTGCAATGAAATTTAGTTCATTTGTTACTGTCTGTATTCCATTTTATATGCTCTCTTTTCGTGGTTTAGGGACTTTCTGAATATGTAAAATGTCACTGTGGTTTTAAGAGTCAGAGTTACTGAAGACATCTTGGTGAGGTACAGATCTTCCTCCCCCTACCTCCCTGTTCTCCCTCTCTCCTTCTAACAGTTTCTCACAATCCCCATCTCTGGTTCATTACTATCTGATTTCTTTCACTGATGGATTATCTTTCTTTCCTGAATTTTATATTTTATTAATCTTCTGTTTCTTGCATGAAGGGCAGCATACTATAAATATGTATTGTACTTGGCTTCTTTGTTTAAAATGTTACCTTGAAAATCAGCCTGCATCAGTTCAAAGAGATTTTCCCCATTTCTTTTCTGTGACAGCTGCATAACAAAACCCTCACATTAACTACTCTATTTTTAGTCCTCCATCAAAGTTGGGATCCAGTTCAGTCTAAGCAGTTACAGAACTTGTCCCTCCCATCCCAACTCTGATGGCATGACTCACAAGAGCTTAGTGGATGCACTTACTCATAAACCAACAGACAGCCTCCACTGGCCCAACCAGAAGACTTCCAGTTTGGGACATTTGGGGTATTTATAAATATACCACACATTATAATAGAATACTGAACCTTAATAGTGTCTTCATAGCTCTACTAACTAATCTGAGATAGCTCAGAGCAAAGTATTTCTCTGCTTTCTCTTAGAAACATTGAAGTAGATGGTAAGCATCATCTATGATCAAAGAATCATAGTTTACAGAAATCTGTAAGCGTCCATCTTTTCCCCTTATTACTAAATCAAAATTTAATGAAAATGTAGCATATTGAACTTCATAGGACTCACTTAAAAAATAACAGACACAGTTTTATAAATACTTTTTGTTTTCTACCACAAAGGAGAAAATGATTCATTTCTTGAGTACCAGGGGAATGGTGGAATTTGATCACAAATTCCCCAAACACAGGTTTAAACAAAGGAATGACATGATCAGGGCTCAAAGCTCCTCTGATGGCAGTGTAGCCAATGGATTGGAGGAGGCAGAAGTGGAATTAAGGGGATGAGTTAAGAAACTGGTCTGGCAAACCAAGTGGGCAGGTGATGGTGAAGCCTGGACTAGGGGAGTGGCAGAGAAGATGGAGGAAGGAGAGAGAAACTATATGTCATCTAGAAGGCCAATCAAACCAGCATTTGAGACTGTCTAGATATGAGATGAGGGAAGGGTGGGAAAGTAGGATGTGCATCCTGTGTCTTGATTACCTCATAGCTCACAACCCTGATGTTTGGGCCCTGGAGAAAACTCAGCATACTCAGTCAATATTAGCTTAGGTGACCTTTAAAATTCTCCTGAGATTTTGAACATTCTCAAAATAATTGTCTTGGTAAACTATTGCTAATGTTAAGAACTGACCAATTGTTAACCTGTGTGATTGTTAGAAAGGGGTTTAATAGTAGTCAGAAATAGAATTTCCATATTTTAGACTTGGAAAAATAGAAATTAAACTATTGAAATGGACCTACAAAGAGAAGTTTAAAATATATAGAAACATATAATATGATATTTATTATTTCAGGGATAACTCTGTTGGTGATACTTTTAAAGCAGGATGACTATCTAGAAATCTTGTTCCCCAGTAGTCAATGTCTAACTTGAGAAACATTCACGTGGAAATACTGTCAACAAAGCCCATTCAATGAATGAGCTATATGAGCCTTTTCTCACCATTTGGCCATTTCACACAAGATTAGACATCAGAGAACCAGGGCAATCAAATAAAAATAACCGCAAATCATAAAAGTTTAATATAAAACTCAAAAATGTTTTAAAATTGGGAAAGATCCAGTAAAAATTCTCCTGCTCTGACAATTGCTTTGAATAGTAAACAGTTCAAGCAAATTATTGGTAAAACTACCATAGACCTTCCTCACATCTTAAAGAGCAAAGACACACCCCCAAATAGTTCCATAAACATAGTAAATGAAATGCTAAGGCAGAATATTCTGTGCTTTCTTATAATTTGATCAATTATCATATTTATAACATACTTACAACATATTCTCTTTTGATAGAGTACAATTGCTTTAGATAAGTCCAAACAGGTTCTCTGAATTGAGTGAAATAGCTGCAATAAAATATAAATAAAATGCTGTGAAATTTATATCAGTGACATTAAAAATATACTGGACAAAACCACAATACTTGATTTTCCCCCTAAAAACAAGATCACGTGTCTAAGTAAGTTTGGTGTTACATGTGATGTACTGTACAGAGAATGATCCATGGATTTAAACATTCCCCTAGGATTCTGTACTTATTGAAATTCATCATCTCCATGATCAAAATTAAGATCTACAGAACAGTTATTTCCTCCAAACCATTGAAATAATAGATAACAAAACATAAGGGAATGGCCCAATTAGAGAACCTGGTACACCAGAGACCCAGTATTCATTCATAACTTAATTTATTATCCTTAACACTTAGTGTTTTTTTTTAATGGGGGATCTGCCAGCTAAACATCATATTTAAAAGATGACATTACCTTATTTTATGATCCTAATGTATTTTATGGCAGGCTTAAGCAACTAGATAAAGCAAACAAAATCAATCAGCAGAATGTTCTATCTATTTAGAAGACATCTGTTAAAATAGAATCTAGGTAGGAACAAATCTTATTACCAAAGTTCCCAATGATGTCATAAACTATCCAGGGAGCCAGCCTACTGCCATGCTACAGCCATGATGGAGAAAAGGAGGGCAAAGGCAAGTAGGACCACACTGAAAAGTGTTAACCAGTTTGAACTCATCAGTCTTGGTCTTTCTTTGAGAAACTGAGAAAGCGAAAGAAGAAATGAAGAGAAGTTTTGATTTAGAGATTAAATGTCTCCCTAAAGCCCCTATACTAAAGGCTTGGTTGTCTTCTGTGGGAAGTGGTAGGCCTTTGGGAATGGAACCTAGTGGAATGAAGCCATGTCTTGGAGGACAGGCCCTTGAAGTGGATATTAGGACCCCAGCCCTGTCTTCTGCTTGAGCAGGTTTCTTCCACCAAGCACTTCTATCATGATATGCTGCCTTGTTGTATGAGGAAAAGCAAGGGGGCTACGAAACGATGAGGAAAAACAAAACAAAGGAAAAACCACCACTACCCAAAACCTGTTCCTCCTTTAACTTCATTTATCTCAGGAATGTCATAGTGGCAGAAAGATGGCTAACATGACAGACTTCATACTTTTTCAACCCTCTGTCTGTGGGCTCAGAGACCAAGGCTAATGTCCATTACAAAAGCTGACAAACATTTTGCCTCTGTGGAGCCAAAGAACGAGACAAAGCAAAATTTTTCCTCTTCTTCTTTCCCTAGTTTACTGGCCATGCTAACATGAAAATATGTCTTGGTACCATAAAGCACTTCAAAATTTGAGTGCAAACAGATGATCTGCTTCATTATACATATGACCAAATTATCTAATAAAAGTGGACACATGCATATGCACTTAAAATGATTAAATCCTATTCTTAGGAATATTTAATATAATAAAGCTTGTTTATGAAGCAACAAATTTACTTATTTATGAAATTGCATCATCAACCTATTTAGAAAAAAAAATCCCCCATAAAACAAAACTAAAACTAAAAAACCATTGGAAAATGCTTGATATCAGTATTCTAAGTCATAAAACCACCAGAGTCAGAGCAAAGAGGTTCTGATTCTAATTTCAAATATAGGAGCAAGAATCTGGTCCACTATTACTGTTCACTTTTAAAAAAATGAAGAATGACCAGCTTTGAAGTGTTTAGTTCTATGAGTTTGACGATTGCATTCACTCATGTAATCATACCCAAAGCTACATAAGACACTACATAGACACTCCACTCTCCTTTGGCAACCTTTTAAAAACTAAAATGGAGCACAACATTTACATATCAACTTCCCAGTAAAATAACTATTTTATTGCTTGTTTGTTTGTGTACATAGTATATGCATGTGTGTGAGGAGGCCAGAGGTCAGTGTTGTATGCCTTCCTCTTTCTTGCACCATCTTATTTTTTTTTTAAATGTTTATTTAATCAGGTCTGGAGAGATGGCTCAGTGATTAAGAGCACTGGCTGTGCTTTCAGAAGACCCAGGTTTGGGTCTCAGTACTCACATGGCAGCTAAGAACCATCCCTAATTCCAGTTCCAATGCCCTCTTCTGGCCTGCATGGGCATTGCATACATGTGCTGCACTTACATGCAAGCAAAACACTCATACACATAAAAGTTTTAAAAAAATTTACTTATTATTATGTATGATTTATGTGTGAATGTGGGTGTGCATATAACAGCATATGTAGTGAGGCCAGAAGACAGATTTTGGGAGTTAGTTTCTCCTTTACCATGGGTTCTGTAACTCAGATTGTCAGGCTTATATAACAAGCACTTTTACCCACTGAGTCATCATGTCTACTAACTTACTTTTGAGTCAAGATCTCTCACTGTCTGGCTGGCCAACAAGCTCCCAGGATCCACATTCTCCACCCCCAGTGCTGGGGTTATAGACCTAGACTACCATGTCTGGCTTTTACTTGGGTGCTGGGATCCAAACTCAGGTCCTCCTGCTTGTGTATTAAACATTTTACCCAGTAAGTCATTTCCTCTGCCCTGAATCCGTTATTAAAGCTTGATACATATAAATGTTTTCCAGAGAGCAGAAGAAACTAGCCTTCTGCAGGTAGCTCAGTGTAACAACATGTCATAGTGGCTTGCATATCATTCTCAAGCTTTATTGATAGAATCCATTCTCTATAAACATCCATAACTATATTAACATTTCTGCCACAGAAACCCCTCTGATGGGCTAAACACCAAGTCACAGGTTAAATACTTTGGATGCATATGGCTAGGAAAGCAGTTATTTGAATGAAAACATAGTTTAGGAAAAATGCTGCTACAAGATCCTACACATAAACACAATGTTTAAGGTAGTAGTAATTAACAAGTGACTTTTTCCTTGAGACCTGGTCTTGCTATGTAGGCCAGGCTGGCCATCTTTCTACTACAGCCTCCCGAGAGCTGGGATTACAGGGCCGTACCACTATGCCAAGCTTAAATGACTTTTGAATACTGCTTATATTTACTAGATTGTTAAGAAGCAAAAAAGCTATGAGATATGAAAAACATCAACTTACAACAATTAGACTATGTTTATGATACAAATATCAGAGGAGATATTCCCTGTGAAATCTCTTCTGAAAGAACATCCTGATCAGCTTCTATTTCACAATTTCCAGTAACAGAAGGAAAGGGCACTAATAAAGAATGAATATTTACGTAGTCATTCGGTTTAACGTCTGTTGAATGTGTGGTGTGTGAGTGGCTGAGGGCACGATATAATTAAGCCTAACATGGAATTTGACCTCTCAGTAGAGTGGACAGGCAAATAAACCAATACCTGAGATTATTCCATGAGATAAGTACTCTGAGCAAAACAAAGTAATGCCATATATTAATGAACAGTGGTTCTGTGATGAGGAGTGGGTGTGGATATGTAGGAACTTGAAACAGCATGTGAGGTAAGGCTTCTCAAGGTCACTTTTAGGCTGTGAGAACTATGATAATTCACCAGTCAAGGAGAGATCTAGGGAAAAAGTATCCAGGCAGACCACAGGAAATACTTTATGAGCACGAACTTGCTGGTACAACCAGACAGGGAGCTGAGAAAAAACTGTAAAGGCTGGAGGGTGGTAAGGACAGTATGAACTCACTGTGAAGGAGATTTCAGAAAGCACTCCCTGGTTGCCAGGACACAATAAGCACTCAGTGGCACTCATCACTTTAGTTAACAAGTAAGCATTCTTGTTACAGGGCAACAGTAGCTTAAATTCCACTGCAGAGAGGCATCTCCCATCTCAATACCAGCCTCTCCTTAGGGACCTAAACCTTAGAAAGTTCTGCCTGGGGCTGGATCTACTCTCAGATGAGTAGAATGAGTCTTACCCTCTCCTACATGACAGACCTTCCTGAGTAGTTAACTACTATTACTTCCTTTTAGCACTTTCCTACATCTCAACCACCCTTCTAGAAAAGGTTTTGAAATCCTGAGCTTTTTATTTTGGTCTCATTATTATTCAGCTCATTAACTGAGATGCTATATTCAACTTAAGAGATCCCATTGAATTTTTATCAGGCCACGGAATATATTAATTTTCTCAGTGCCCTGTCACCCACAGAAGAGCTATAAACATGGGCATAAATGTCCAGCAAGACAGTGAGTTAGGTTTTCCATTCATTATACTAATACTGTAGCCCAGATGGATAAGAATTCAAGTTGCTGTATAGTTTAACTAAATATTTTCTTAGTTAATTCATTCTGGAATTTTCTAAGGTTCATTGCCAACCTCACTAGAGTCTATTGGACAGTCATTTTGTTTGTTTTTAATTTTAGACATTTGTCTGGTTCTAGTGTCCAATTCTGATTCCTCAGATACTACTAGAAGCAAATCTTAGATTGTGTGGAATATTTTTAACAAAAATTTACTGGAAATTTACCACCCAGCATGCATTCTAACGTAGTGTTTGAAAACCTAATTAACAGAGGCCTATTAGAGATTATATGAGAATTTTTAGATTTGGGTTTTTTTGTTGTTGTTGTTATTTTTCTGTCTTTTTGAGAAAGGGTCTAACTATAGCCCCAGTAACCCTGGAACTTGCTATGTAGACCAGGCTGGCCTTGAACTCACAGAGATGCTGAGATTAAAGTCATGTACCACTATACCTGGCCTGAGAATTTGCAAATTGAAAAAAAAAAAAAAAACATGCTAGCATTGAATTTTTCTGATCCTGGGTGTTCCCTGCTGTCTAATATGTGCAAACCAAGACTGGCCTAGTGAGTTTGCTCAAAAGTCTTGACTCTAGCATAGTGGCCTAAGTGCTGTGAAGAGCTTACCTCCAGCTTGGCATCCAGGTCTGCATCAGAGGCAACAACATGCTCATCTTCCTTCTTCCCTGTGGCTTTAATAAAGGCCTGCTTCGTTTCCCAATACTTCTGTTGCATCTTATTGACAACTGACTTATCTTGAGTATACCGATCCTGTAAGTCCCAGGAATAACTGCAAAAAACATTTAAAGAGCTATTTTACTCAAGGAATTCAAAAGAACTAAGATACTATGCTATGAAGTAATTGATCTAAGCATGACTTTATAATCTACATTGACATTATTAATGAATGTGTAAATGCTTTCTTATGCAGTTGTTACGCCATGAAAATGAATGAACTCTTTCTAATTCATAATTTAAAAAGTAAGAGTGAGGAAATTCTGCATCATTTTTAGAAATTAAGAAACTGAACCTTGACAAGAATATGTATATTCTTGTTACACACACACACACACACACACACACACACACATTGGACACATTCCTTTTGGAGGTGGAGAGTGGAAGGAATGAGGCCAAGAGGCCAGGTGACTGGTTCAGGGCAGCCTAGAGAGTCAGAGATAAGGACAGACACTAGCTCATCTCTCCACACTTTCGATTATACCACAGTGACGTGACAGCAGGAAAGCAGATAAGGGGCTGAAAAATAGCTTAGAATCTGCTGGAGAGGCATCTAAAATAGTCAGACTCACAGAGTCAGGGAGAAGAATGATGTTGGCTTTGGGGAAGGCAAATGTGGAGAATGCTAATCAAGGCATAAAGTTTTATTACATATGATGAATATATTCTGGAGATGTATTAACACTGGATCTACAGTTAACAAACTAATTGTGCTCTTTAAATTTTGTTAAGAGTTTAGATTTTATATTACTAGTTCTTGCCACAACAAAATTAAATAAATAAAATTCTCAAATGTGTTACAGATTGCAGGTTGTTAAAAACAGTTCTTCAACATAAACGCTTAAAATATAGATAGGAAGCTGCTCTTCAGAAAGAGCTGGATGAGAAGCAAATCAAAGAGTATAGAAAGAGGAATCGGAAGCAAAGTTGAGAATGAAGTAGCATTCCATACAAGTGATCAGAGGACTCCAAATACTGAAAGAAAGTTCACTGCTGGTGCTCTGCACCCCCCACCCCTGTCTACATCCTTCTTGGCTTCAGTTAAGCTGCAAAGGCCCACACAGTCCCCAACAAGCCCTCCTTCTACCCTAACCCATCATCACTCTAGACAAGCTGCTCTATACTATTGTAGTGAAACACCCATATCTCAACCTTGATATTTCTAGTCTTCATATGAAAGTTCATTATGCTTACACTTTAAAAAATATTTTATTTATTATTTTTATTTTATGTGTACGGGTGTGTTGCCTGCATGTATGTGAGTGCACCCCTGTCGTGCAATGCTGCAGAGGTCAGAAGAGGGCTTCGGATTCCCCTGGGACTGGAGTTAAGGATGGTTCATAGCTGCAATGTGGGTGCTGGGAATCGAACCCTTTTAATTCACTCATTTATTCTCTAAAAGTCAGAAAGTCTTTCGTATAACTTCCTAATGGCTTTCTTTGGTGAGAGAGGTAGATTACGGGAGACTGCTAAGGTTTACTTTGTATCTTTTTTCATTATTTAAGTTTTATTTTGGTCTCATTATCAGAGAAAATAAGATAAAATGTGCTTATCACTTGTGAAAAAATAATATTCCTGTATAATGCACACATTAAAAGATTGGATGGATCTATCCCAAGGATGTGTTTTTTTCAGGAGAATTGGATTCCAAAGAACGAGGTGTAGAATGAATAAGATGGACTTTGTGTTGAATCTTTTTAATTTTTTTCTTCCATGTATATTTTTATTGAATTTTTGTGCATTTCACACAAAATGTCTTAATAATATTTAGAGCCTCTCCCTTATCTGTACCCCAATTCACAGCCCACTCACAGGATCTCAGGCATTCTGACATATATGTTAAGGCCTATCAAGTCAAGTTTGTGAGTCCATCCACTGGAGCCTGTTCAGCCTGCGCAGCCTAGCGTCACTTCCTTAAACAAGTTCAACTTCCTTACCCAGCAGAGATCTGCTGCCAATAGTTCCTCAGCTAAGGTTGGGGCCTCCTGCTTATTTTCCCAGTTCTATGCTGGCTTTTTTTTTCTGATTGAGTTTGCATGAGTCTTGCACATGGTGACAACATCGTTGTTCATATGAGCAAGCTACCAGCTGCCTGGAAAACTCTGTTTCCTTGTCTTGTACCACCTGTTTCTTACAGTTTTTCTATCCCCTCTTCTGCAGTGGTCCCTTAGCCCTGAGCCCTGAGTGGGTGAGGTTTAAATATAGAAGTCCTATCCAGGGATACACACTCTACAGTCTCTTAGTCTCTATACTTTGGCCAGGTGTGGCCTTCTGTGTTCATTGCCCTCTGTTGCATGAGGAAGCTTCACTGGTGAGAGTTGAGAGATGCATTAGTATTCTCTCTACCCTCCTGTTCCACTATGTTCCATGAGCCTTAGGTGTAGAGGTTCCATTGTAGATGAGTCACATGCACATTTCCCTACACTGAGACCACCTGAGGTCCATCCCACTGCCCCGGGGCTAGGCTTCTCTGCCCTTTAGTAGGGGCCTAGACCTTGCAGATTGCCTAGGAGTGCCTTAAGGAGCTTCCCAAATTGTGCTGTGACTGCTCTAGTAGGGGCCCAGACCTTAGGAGGAAGCCTGAGAATACCTGACTGGAGCATGACTTGGGCCTCTGGGGGAGCTTCTGAGTACCTGGACTGAGGCCATCTGGTCCCTCCATATAAAATCAAAAGAGAGGACCTGAAGCCTAGACCAACCAGCTTTACATACCCAATAAGAAAACAATCAAGGCACACTAATAATACAAACAGAAGCAGATTTCAACTCAACAAAAGAAGGCTTGAGTTTCATACCAGAATCACAAACAACAAATGAAATCCACATGCCAAAATCACAACAGAAAAATAACATGGAAAACCAAAATAATAAATTCCCACCAAACACCACCAATCCTATAGAAGAGTTCTATAATGAGAACTCCCTAGAGATAACCCAGGACACAGAATTTAAAAGAATAATCATAAACATGATCAAAGATTCAACTAGTTTAAAGAATATGCATACAAATCAAAGAAGTAAAAGAAGATAGGGATAAACTTATGACTGAATTCACAAAAGAGATAGAAATATTGAAGAAAACTCAGGCTGAAATGAAGAAGTGAAAAACTCAATAAGCCAGTTTGAAACAATAGGAGAAAGCCTCACCAATAAAATGAATGAAATGGAAAACAGAATATCAAGATTGGATGATAAAGTTGAAGAATTAGACCGCTCAAGCAAAGATTATGAAAAATGTAAAAAAAATTACAGAAATGGAATATGCAGGAAATATGGGACACCATGAAAAGTACAAATTTACAGATCATAGGTATAGAGGAAGAAGAATTTCAGGTTAATGGTATTGAGCAGATCTTTTTCTTAAAATTCTTTTTTGTTATTTCTATTTTATGTGTATGAATGTATTGCCTGTATGTGTGTAAGTGCACCCGTGTTGTGCAATGCCCACAGAGGTCAGAAGAAGGCATCAGATCCCCTGGAACTGGAGTTATAGATGGTTGTTAGCCGCCATGTGGGTGCTGGGAATTGAACCCCAGTCCTCTGCAAGAGCAGTTAGTGCTCTTAACTGCTGAGCCACCTCTCCAACCTCCCTTATCAGTTCTTTAACAAAACTGTAGAATAAAATTTCCCCAAATTAAAGAAAGACATGTCCCTACAAGTACAAGAAGCACATAGAACACCAAATAGAACCAGAAAAGAAACTCTCCATGGCATATCACAGTAAAACACTAAATGTACAGAACAAAGAGAGAATACTGAAAATAGCAAAAGAAAAATAAGTCACATAGAAAGAAAAACCCATCAGAATTACAGCTGACTTATCAATGCAAGCTATGAAAGTCAGAAGAACCTGGACCAAAGTATTACCAGTTCTAAATGACCATAGACACCAGCCCAGAGTACTTTATCTAGAAAAAAAAAATGTCTACTATAGTTAAAAGAGAAAGAAAAATCTTCCATGGCATGGATAGGCAGAAAGAATACATAGCCACAAAACCAGCCCTTCAGAGAATACTTGAAGCAATATAAAGAATAGAAGAAAGGAACAACTATACCCAAGGGTCAACAGAAAGAAGCTAAATGAAGGTACAATTGTGGAAACAAATTAGACCAAGAATGCAAACAGAAATTAAAGTGATGGCAACAAATACACATCTTTCAATAATAACTTTAAATATCAATAAACCAAACTCCCCAGTCAAAAGACACAGGCAGTTGAATGGATTAAGAAACAAAATCTATCCTTTTGTTGTCTGCCAGAAACTCACCTCATCTTCAAGGACAGGCACTATTTTAAGGTGAAAGGATGGAAAATAATCTTCCAAGAAAATTGCACTAAGAAACAAGCAGGGATTGCAATTCTAATATATGACAAAATAGACTTCAAACTAAACTGATCAGAAGAGATGAAGAGGGTCACTTCATACTGATGAAAGGAACAATTGACCAAGAAGATATTACAATCATGAACATATATGCACCAAACTCTGAAGCACCCAATTTCATAAACAGGACTTTAAGACACAGATTAATTCTAACTCATTAATAGTAGGGGACTATCTCCATTAGACAGGTCAACCAGACAAAGAATAAACAGAGAGACATCTTAGTTAAATGATACTATACATCAAATGGACTGAACAGACATCGACCAAATATTCTACCCAAGCACCAAAGAATATACTTTCTATTCAGCACCCCATGGAACTTTCTCTAAAACTGACCACATACAAGGGCACAAAACAAACCTCAACAAATACAAAAAATTGAAATAATTCCATGCATTCTATCAGGTCACAACACAATAAAGCTTAAAATCAACACTGAAAGAAAAAACCCTAATAACCACATGAACTCATGGAGATTAAACAACACACTCCTGAATGATGAATGTGTCAAAGAAGAAATTAAGAAATAAAGTATTCCTGGAACTAAACAAAAAGGACAATACAACACAACAAAACCTCTGGGACACTTTAAAAGCAGTTTGAAGAGGGAAGTTTATAGCTCTAAGTGCCTATATTAAAAAAAATCAGAAAGAGCACAAATAAA